TTGGCATTAACATGCGATCACCATGATCCGATCAAGCAGATCGGATCATCAGTCAATCAGGACATGGCGCGTTTACATTTGACAAGATCAAGTGACTTCTCTATCAGGATAACCGATCAGATCTCTCTTTCCTTCGCAATGTTTAAATAAGTCTTCTGACAGTTCAGGAGAGAGGGGGCGGGGTTTTGCGTGACATCGACCTGCGAATGTAGACACGATGGCTGGATTGCATTTACATTACATGGAGATCCGATCACAATGTGTCCTTGACTACCTCTGGACCTACCTCTTCTGAAGTGCATTTACACTTGTCTTTTCAATGTGTATGTGGTCAACATCCGGATACAGGTCACATGTTAATGCTAAGAGTAAGCACAGCCCTAGTTTGAAGTGTGGTTGAAATGGTACTGCTGTTTGTGGAAAGAAGCAAGACTAGTAAATTATGACAATGCCATGTTTTCTTCTCTAGTTGGGTTCGCCTGGAACTCAAGCATAAAGATTTAGCTGTTTCTCTTGATGCTGCCAAACTGAAGACGTATGTTGCAATTGATTTCTAGGATCTTGCTGGACCATGTGAAATATTAAGTTTTGCTTATGTTTTGTTTTACTGATGCTACTCTTTTACAGTGGAATTGAGAACGCTTTACTGGAACATTACAAGTTGAGTAAGAAATTTGTGTCTGAGGTTAAGGTAAGAATTTACTGTTGTTATCTAACCCCTCAACTTTGAAATTGCAGTAAAGAACCTAAGACAACCCACCTCCTCTTTTCCAGTATGACAGAGATGGTCGTCTCGTTGTGTATGTCAAAAAACCTGAGAAAGAACGTATTACAGACATGTCCCTCATGACTTACTACATGGAGAAGGAAGTGAGTCTCGTTATGTTTCTTATCTTCATACCTGTTGTTATGTTGTAACTTAATATGTAACTAAATTAATTTGTCTTTCGTAGATCAAAGTTAAGCCCCTCTTTCAAGACGAAAAACCATTTGAAGTCAGTGCTGAGGGATCAAAGGTGTCCATGGAGAACATTCTGGTATACTATGTAGATGAAGTGGCGCCCACCTTCACCATGCAGAAGCTGACTGGATGCCTACTTCAGTGGTTCCCAACCTTTTAAAAAATCTCACGGCACACCACTAAACACTGAAATATAGAAAAAATAAATAAATAAATAAATACAGTATATATATATATATATATATATATACACTTTATAAAAAAAACGGATAATGTATGGGCAGAAAATTACCAAGACATTTTCTGTTAAATTTACGGACATTTCCTTCAACATTGAAATGGAAAATTCTGTAGATTTACATTTTCTTCTGTACTATAAACAGACAATCTGTTATGCAGAAATTTCTTAAAAATATATTATATATATAGCATAGGCCTATCTTTTGTAGCAAATAAATCCAGCACAATATATACAAATTGAACATGGTTTATTTTTACCTCATGTAAACATTCTTAAAAGTGCATTCAGTAGCTTTTATTTGCCTTAAACAGGTGAAGACAAAAATATTATGACATCAATTAATTTAACAATGTGTAAAGCACCATTGAAAATGCTTGTATTGTGGAACACTTTTTAGTTTCAAACAGCAACAGGCAGAAAAAAGAAAACATGATCAGGTACTTGTACAATATTGGTGTTACACTAAATAGTGGTCACAAAACATTAGCGTTCCAAAAATGAATAAAAGTCTAACAGGATTGGAATGAGATTTTTCATATAATATTTTGGGTGAAATAACCCTTTAAGTTAGATTACTAACCTCTAATTCATGCTAAATTATCTGCATCTACAACTGACATGGCTGCAAAAAAAAAAAACATTCCTGTACAGCATTTGAAAATGTGGAACAAAGATTCATGCACTCATGCTTTTAGTATCTCTTGCCATGTGCCAGTTAGAGGAAACTACTTTTTTTCTTCTTCTTCATGTTCAGTCCAAGTTCCATGTTGAGATTTGAAAAAAGCTCAAATTGTACATGGACTGTCGAAGTTTTTCATACATGAGTCTTGGAAGAGTAGCCCTTTGGTTCCCTTCATCTGAAACTTTGATCCTCGTTCAGGATTTCTCCACAGGAAGACTGGAAATGACAAGAAATGAAAGGGAGGAAATGATAACTTCTTGAATGACAGCAATCTGGAATCACCAATAACAATAAACAAATAAGAAATTATAAAAAACACATTGTAAATTCAGAAAACCACTCCAAACATTGATTAAAATATTTCCTACACAAACAACTTCAATAACAAAGTCAACTGAATAAACGACTTAATGACTAATTTTTGTCAGTATTGAAAATCCCCAATGGTAAATAAATATGGAAGCATATGGGTAGCAAAATTCAATTTGAAATGTTCGATTTGAAATATGCAAAATGGCAATGCAATACGTAAAATGGCAATGTAGTTGTGCAAAAGGCTCATTAATGCAGACGCACAGAAGCGCTCTTTTCTCTATCGCGGGGACTTTTATTTTGGCGGAATGCCGTTTCATTCTGTGGAGTGCTTCACAGCGCCGCGCAATCGCAATCTAGTATTGCATCAGCCATCATTGGTCCTCAGCGGGAATGAGCCATGCGATTCCGTTACAAACGGCAATCATACGATTATCTTTATGTTCCTTTGAGTGTTTAAGTTTGTGTGCGTCCAGAGAGAAAGTGAGTATTGTAACTTTAACTGTTATTCAAGCGGAGTTGATTGCTGTTTACTGAATATATATGTTTAAGATATGTGACTATACAAAATGGATGCTAGTGTGAAGTATAGTAACATTTGAGTTCTCACTCAGTGTAAATGTAGTAATGTAAGCTGTTAATGATGTTCCATTATAATAATGTTAGTTTCAAATGCTACATTGTGTGATGTTTGGGGGAAGCCAGTTGCTTCGTAATGCCATTCATGTTGTGATGGATGTGAGCATATAAATGTTGTGGATTGTAATAATAAGAACCATTGGTTGTTAGAATGTATCTTTATTTGTTTGTTGCAGACCACACCCACATACATGAGTGTATGCTGACCCGTCAAAGGACATAAGGTTCAAGATGATACTGCTCTGCATCAGTATTAATGCTCATCTATAATATGTGCACAATCTGAGAACTGGATAATGCACTTCGCTATAATCTGGCTCCCCCTCTGCATATGCCTGTAACAATAAATCTGGTGAACTCGATTCCTTCTCCGGCTTTGGTGTTCTAACCGGCACACGCGGATCAACTCCACCTACTTAGCAAAAGCTAGCACCTTACAGTCCTTAGCCCCTCAGCTACAGTAGTTCTGTATTTTAATTTACATTTTACCATACATGTGTGTAACATTTAGTGCAAATTGAAAATTCAGTTATAAAATTTACATTTGCCATTTTCTACACTAGTTTTAATATGCAAATTAAAAACATATTTTAACACTTTATAAGTTGCAAAATTAAAATTAAAATGTATTACCCACATTGATTAGATAGGTTTAACATGTCCAAGCAAAAACTGTAGCAAAATTATCATTTAAATGCTGTTTTTACTAAATGCATTTAGACTTAGGGGTAGGACACTTGGGATTGCATTTTCATCGTTATACCGTGTAATAATTGTAGCAAAATGCAGTGAGAATTTCAGAATGCATTCTGAGCCAAAGGTGCAGCAAAAGGGTAGCAAAACGGTGATTTAAATGTCTTTATTTTTTCTTAAATGCATTGACACTTACATATAAGATGTTTCAATAGCATTTTCATTTAATACCCCACGATGAATATAGTTTAAGTCAAGGTGGAAAGCGTTTGGTTGACAGTGAATATTGACTTATTGTGCGTCCTGTTGCCGAGCCCCGCCTTGATGTAGAGCCAAAGGTGCAGCAAAAGGGTAGCAAAATGGTGATTTAAATGTCTTATTTTTCTTAAATGCTTTGACACTTACATATAAGATGTTTCAATAGCATTTTCATTTAATACCCTGCAACGAGTATAGTTTAAGTCAATGTGGAAAGCATTTGGTTAACGATGAATATTGACCTATTGTGCGTCCTGTTGCCGAGCCTCGCCTTGATGTAGCCTAACGATTGACAGGTCGGGGGCGTGTTGCAGTTTCAAATGCATTTCAAATCCACATTGACTTTATATTCATCGTGGGGTATTAAATGAAAATGCAATTGAAACGTCTTATAAGTGTCAATGCATTTAAGAAAAATAAAAGACATTTAAATCACCATTTTGCTACCCTTTTGCTGCACCTTTGGCTCAGAATGCCTTCTGAAATTCTCACTGCATTTTGCTACAATCATTACATGGTATCACTATGGAAATGCAACCCCAAGTGTCCTACCCCTAAGTCTAAATGCATTTAGGAAAAACAGCAATTAAATTATAATTTTGCTACAGTTTTTGCTTGGACATGTTAAACATATCTAATCAATTTGGGTAATACATTTTCATTTACATTTTTTAACTTATAAAGCGTTAAAATACGTTTTTATTTTGCATATTAAAACTAGTGTAGGAAATGGCAAATGTAAATTATATAATTGAATTTTCATTTTGCACAAAATATTGCACATATGTATGGGAAAATGTACATTTAAATGTAGGAATACGCTGCCATTTTACATATTGCATTGCAATTTTGCATATTACATTTCAAATTGAATTTTACTACCCATATGCTTCCATAAATAAGAACTGTAAATAAATAAAACAGAATGCAAACCCATGATAAGAATGCAGGGGGTGCTTGGGATGCACAGTACAGCAGCAATTACGACCTGTCATTAGAAAATAATACAAAAGAAACACCATGAATGCCATGAACTGCTGTCCCTTTAAAACATGACTCACATTGACGCACATCAACTCTTTACAACAGTCAAGACTTTTTAATTTATTTAAGACTTTCACTCACCAAAAATTGTCATTTTGACATAATTTTGTGTGCTTTTGTCTGTGTACGTGCGAAAGAGCCAGATGCGCTCCTGGCGCGCTGTCTGAAGCGGCATTCTCTGCGCGTGCATGACGTTTGTGTTCACACAGACAGCTTGCCAGTAAAGTTACCAAATTAACTTCTCATGTGTGTGTGTGTTTAACATAAACAAGACAATAAAAAACCTAAACCTACCTCGTTTGGCAGAAAAGGTGTGTTATCCTTGAAGAATTCAGCGATGTGAGATCTTCACCTAGTCCTACCTTAATCTCTTAAATAAAAAATAGTCATAAATGGTGTCTTCTTTTCTTGACAATTACTCGGCCAGCTCCCGTTGAAGGCATACAGCGCTCTAAACAGAGTTGTACCGCACTTCAGATTTAACGTTAACACAGCTGCTTAACATCACCTCAGTAACGTTAACGTTAATATGCCGGATGCTTTACGTCACGCTCAGTAACAAATACATCAACAACAATTAAAAAAAGTTTATAAACTTTTAATTATAAAACTATAAGTGAGCACACTTTAACACGTACCTCCACGTCGAGTAAGATGTGATGGTATGCTGAAGATGTTGAATACGACGGCTACGACATTCATTTGCCAAACAAGCCAGACACATTTACCTTACATTTAACAAAAAATAATTTACCACGGAAGCGTAAGAACGGTTGCCCAAACCCGAAATCCGACTTTAAAATTAATTTTGACCGAGACTATCTCCGTGAACAATGGCGCCTGCTCTAGTACCGTTTTCGCGCCGATAATCGACTGAGCTTC